ATCAAACTCATGACCTTCTGCTTGCCAAGCAGGCAGTTGTGCCACTGAGCTAGACCCCAGCTACCAGGAAAATATATTCAATCCACAGTGAACAATGGCAAGAGAAGGAAGGAAAATAATTGTGAATCTAACACTTGCGGGTATCTGAAAACCTCCCAGAGCAAGACAAGAATAGCCCCTTTCTAAAAAAAAAAATCCCCTTGCTCTTCTGACCCAGTCATTCTAGAACTGTTGTTCGGAGATAGGATACTTCAAAATGTCTTGTTATGGACTCTGGAGAACACAGAAGACTTCATCTTGGACAACTCTGGTCTTTGAGTTACTCACAAGCATTTAATGCTGTTCAATAAATCCATCCTTAAAGCTGGGAATAACTGATCATATTCTATCCTCAACCTAGATTCTGAATTGTATAAATTATTTTCACAGTTAGGCCTCCCACATTCTTATTGTTTGCACTGCAAAGAATTGCTCAGTTTACACATGGGCATGACTTCATAGGGGGTTTTCCAAGACCAGTTGAATAAAGATAAAAACACTTGCGGCCGCACTATGTGAAATGTGAGCATAACTGGAAGTGATTTCCAGTATCTCAGATAGTGTCCCTGCAAGACAGCAGACAAGATTAAGTCTCCTTATGACCAGAACAGCAAGCATAACAATTTGCCATTTCCTTTGCCCCAAAGGAAATTTGGCCTGACATCAAGATCCACGCTGATTTCTGGGTAACAGTCTTTGTTTACTTGAGAAAGAGCAAGAGACATTTGGAGACTGGGAGGAGAAGGCCTGGCTTGGTGTGGATGACTCTGAGAATGAGGCTAGCAAAGGGAAATAACTGTATCTCATGTAAGCCTCTCAGAAGACTTTCCCTGTAGGAAGGTTTAGTAATCTGGTAATTAGGAAATCAGGTAAAGCAATCAGTCCTAGTAATCGGGTAAACAGGGTGGCCTATAAATATCATTTTCCTTTGTTAGTCAGATTTGTATTTAATCATTGGGTGCACAGACAAGACAAGCACAGTGGCAGAAACAGATGCCAGCCTTGCTGTAGCCTTAACTGCATGAATTTCTTCTCTGGCTCTGACATGCCTACTACCATTGCTAAGTGCTCAGTTTTTCAAGTGAAAGTACCCAGTCGTGAATCCCAATCTGGCACTAAACCTCAAGGGTACTTTCTTGCTACCTGAATTGTATCAACTAAACTAGGCTTCCATCAGCTCTGAAGAAACCAGAGATTTTTCACTGTTACAATAGGTATGCACCATATGGACTTGGATTCCTTTCTGTCACTCGCCACGAGTTTGCTGAAGACATATACACCATCACAGTAAACACACTACCTCCTAGGGATGGATGAATACTCTTTAGACTCTAAATTTAGAAATGCAGGCCCAGAACATGACTCAGTGACCTCACAATACACAGCTGTGAAATGAGCTGGCAGTTATCACTTTAAAATTTTAGGGTACTGTTTTGTTATATGTACAAATGTACCGCATATGACCTATACTTCTTATTGGCAGATTTGTGAAGAAGTAATTGAAGATGTCCTTGAACTATCCTTACTCTTTTTTCTGAGAGGAGGTTATTCCAACTTTCTTTACTTTTATGAAATACCCTGTACATGTCCGATCTTCCTTCCTCCTTTTGTTCAACCTTAAGAGCTGATTCAGTTGCTTATGACCAGAAGATTCTTAATGAATGCACCATCTTCTAGTAACTCCCTAATACTGAAATCTTCATAAGTAAACCCTTGATTATCATTTTCATTGAGGTAAATTAAATAACTGATGATTTTTCAATATTTTGGCAGATATTTTCGTCTCCTCTCAATATCTATTCCTTTCCACTTCATTTCTAAAGGAAATTCTAATGCTGTTTAAGAAAGCAAAGAACACAAAAGAAAATAAAGTACTAGCAGCTTCTTTTGTAGCAAGGAATGGCTAAACAGGGACATAATTCTGGCGATGCAATGTAAGAAGGTGCTGCTTTCAGGGAAGCTTTTGAAAGGGAACAGTAAATCTTACTCTTTGTATTTTCTTTTATTTCCTGCATGGGCTGCAGAGTGAGCTGCTGTCTCGTGCCAACAGATCGCCCTGTGAAGGACAGCAATTTGCTAAAGATGACGTGGCAGAAGGGTAAAAAACTGAAGACACCGATGACACTGCAGTCCTTGAACCACCCTGGATCGCCTACGTCTCAACTTAATCCTACTGGAGAAGAGTTTTCCCTTCTTCATTAAGCCATTATAGTTTGGATTCTGTTACATTCAACTGGGTGCAAATACTGATGGATATAGACAGTCTGTCTTCTTTTTATTAGTTTTGGAACCAAAGTCTGTCTTTTTCCATATGAATAACAGAATAGCGCAGATGACTTGAGACTATTTAAAGCATGATTTACGCCCATACATTTTGATATAAGGATTAAAATGACTAGTTGCTTTTGTTAAGATTATTGTGCTTTAGTGTAAAGAACACAGATGAGGAATTTATGACAAAGTACGTTTTGACATGTCAATTCTAAGGCACATTTGTTTGTCTTTAATTTACTTCCCTAAGCATAAAAGTTACCTTCTTTTAAAAAAAGTTCCTCAAGGCTGGACCTCGGGGCACACACCTGTCATCCCAGAACTGAGGCAGGAGGATTACCACAAGTTAGAGACCAGCCTGGGCTACGTGACAAGACCCTGTCTCAAAAAAAAAAAAAAAAAAAAAAGTTTCACCTTTTCTATTACAAATGAATTTCATCACCACTTAGGAATGTTCTTCTCCTTGTAGTGGTGCTAATGGAGAGTTAAACTTTGCCTTCAACTCTCTAGAACAACCTTAGATTTTCTTAGAAACATTCATATATACATTTGTGCATATTTGTTAATTCATTGTCAAGATTTTTGCAGGTCTGACTTGGGGACCTTATGTTTAGTTTGTCTTGTTTTCGTCCTTAATGAACAACTGTTGACATTTTATACATGGTTACAGTGTGTTTTCTTATTTTAGGTGTACAGGGTTTGGCGTCAATATATGTTCCATGTCAAAGTACAGAAATTAAACCTCAAGGGTACCAGGAGCTAATTTTGCACACTATAAGTCAAATTCCAAGCGTATATTTGATCATCACAGAATCCTGGAGGTGGAGGGAACATTTAGGTTTATGCTGCTGAGACCCTTATGTCAATCACCTGGACTGAAGAGGTGGTGGGTCTGCCCCGTGCTCTACTCGTGAGCTGGAGACCTGGGAAAAGAACCCTAAGTTTCCAGTTCTGTAATTTTTCTTAGGTTGTGTACTTCTTCTTTTTAAAAACCACTCTCATTTAGAGCAGAAAGTTTTCACATCTAGTTGTTCAAACATGATGTATTTTGTGTGACTGGACTTGAAGTTGGCTAAGACCACAAAATTCCCTCTCTGGCTCTGGTTCCTTGTTAGGATCATGGAAGTTCTATTTTGGGTTGAAAGTTTAGGTTTTCACCAAGAATTCTCCTCATTGGAATTGCCACCTTTCCCTGTATTTTAAGTATCCTGTGATTATTGTAGTGTAAGTGACACAAACATACTGGATTAAAACAAAAATGTATTCTCTTAGCAAGGATTCTGGAGGCCAGATTTCTGAAATGGGTATTATGGACAGAAATTAAATGTCAGCAGAGCTGTGCTCCCTCCAGAGGCTCCGAGGAGAATTGCTTTGCTGGCCCTCTAGTGGCTGCCTGTGTTGCTTGGATAGTGGTCCCTTCTCTGTCTTCAAAGCACATCACTCTTGATTCTTACTTTTAACCTCTGATACCATCTCCTTTGAAATGAAATCTCTGTCTGTCTCTTGTAAGATACTGCATGATGAATCTGACAGATAGAGTCCAAGTTCTTGTGTACAGCAACAATGAATTTCAAAGTGTACACTTGAGAGTAGGGGAAAAGTAGTTACATTTTTCGAAGGTCATACACAGAAAAGTAGATGACAGAAAAGGCACACAGCATGCCATGCAGATAAATCAGGCTTTTGGGCTCAAGAGGGAGAGAGGAAAGACGGGTGAGAAGGCCTGTGTGGGGAACCACTCAGACATCTTCAAAGTTCAGAGGCATGGAAGGACAGCTGGGGACATGACCTTGCAGTGTAGCACGGGCACACAGTGGGATACAGTTACGTAACCATGAGTTAGCACAGGTAAACATGCATGCACCAGGTATGGCACCATTTAAGAATGTCAATATGAGATAACAAGCTGCATAAGAATTGTCCAATAAAGACACAGGAGGATCTTGTGCTCACGCACTCTGCTCTGCTGTGCTCTGTGCCTCCTGCTGCTGTTACTGATATCTTGTACATGTTCATGCTTTAACTTGGGGAACTCACCTGGGAAAATCTCCCTTGGGCCCCCCAAGTGCTGAAAGCCTGAGTGTGCTTCGGCCTGAAGCAATATGGAATGCTCCTAAGGTGGCTTCCAATGCTCCTAAGGTGGTTGAAGGCTTGTGAAGTCTTCAGCCCCTTATATGCTATCTGTACCAAGGTTGCTTGTGATTACATTAAAGACCCACTGAGTAATCTTTTTAACTTAAATCACACATACAACGTCACTTTCACAACAATGTGAAAGCTACAGGTCTGTAGATAGGGCCTCAGTACCTCTTGGGCTGTAATTCAGCCAACACAAGTGCTCAGTCCTTGAAACCTCAGTGACACTCGAGTTCATCTTCTGAGTACACTTTAGGTTGTAATATTAATATTCACATAACCAACCAAAGAATCAGGCTCAGTTTTAAAAGCTTTTTATTGGAAAGATGAACCCTGTCTTTGTCCAGATGGCAGAATCCACACGGTGAAAAATTCAGACCATTTAGTGACAGTGTCTTTCTGCCATAAGGAGCAGAGAACATCACGCCGGGAGGTGCGTGGGTTAGAAGGAGAAAGCGAGAGAAAGCGGCTGATCCCTGTGACTACTGAGTCTCTGCACTTATCTTCTGTCGTTCACCTCTTCCTTAATAACACATTTTTTAAATTGAGTCTGATTTTGCCATTGTCACTTAAGTGTCAATAAAAATATAATAATAAAATCAATAATATAAAGACAGAGAGAACACTGTTCTACTAGACTGGTTGGCACCTGCAACTAGAATCTGATGCCGAGTCTGTTGACATTGGTAATTGGGTGAGCTGGAGAGCTCGATACTGGTGTGTGAGATAGACCTTCCAGCAAACTTTGTCTATGTAAATTCTGGTTCTATAAGTGGTTTTAAAAAAATCTAGTTGTTGTATCATGAAAGCAGGTGATATATGCAACCAAAATGTAGGGAACGAGCTTTTTGTGGTATAAAAGAATCATTCTTTCCATTCTCTGAAGCACTGCTCCTTAATCTTTTGAACATTCTGCTGTTCAAGGTATTTTAGCAAAAGGACAGGTATTTTATTGAGAAATGTTTATTAAAGTGAGGAGAGAGGAGGATATGGAGAAAATCTTAGTGTTTTTTTTTTTTGGTACTGGGGAACTAACCCAAGGGTGATGGATATAGTCTACCACTTCCCACAGCCCCAGGTCATCCTCATCCTCTTTGCATCTCTAATCTTAGACAGCATCTTCTGGTTTGTTTTAGAGACCTCACTTTGAATGAGGCAGCTTTCTTAAGGTCCTAAGATCAATTTTTCTTGGTTCTCACTTTTCAGTCATGAACCTCTCTGGAAATGGCTCTGCTTTATGCTTCCATGAGTGATCCCTCCCCTGGCAACAGATAGGCAGAAGGAACGTGAAAAAGAAGATCTACCTTGAGGAGAGTGGGCTGGCAAGAACAGTGGGGTCAGAGACAGCGGTAAGATGCCCCCGACACATTCATGCTCTGATAGCACATCCAGTGTCAGGTCTGGGAGGAGAAGCCTCCCACTGTGGAGCCCAAACTTTTGAGCTCAGAACTGCCTGATTTATCATTGCATCTCACTCTCCAGGAGGCAATCAGCAATTTCCACTTAAAGTAAAATAAATTATGGCATTTAGGATACTGGGCAAAGAAAAGGGGTATTTTTCTCCCTGGAAGCAATGTGCTTGGAGAAGATCACCGAAAAGGATGCGGCCTGAGCATTGGGAATGCGAAGCAGAAATTCTCGGAGCAAAGTGGATTGGCAGCTACATGCAGCGTCCCTAACGCAGGCCTAATTCTTCTCGCAAACAATGTGGCTGAAGAGCTCCACTTTTCTGCTTGCTTCCTGCGAGGGACGGGGCTGCTTGTTGCTAGGGTTACATTATAAATGTGAGCTGGACTGACAGGGCACCTCTTAATAAGGGGCAAGTCCTTCATGTATTTCTGATAGTGCACCGGTGACACAATCCTTCTTGGTTTAGCAGAAAAATACTGCAAGAGTAAATTGTCAATGACAACATCAATGTTCTTGCTCAGCTTCGGGGATTAAGTGAACAGCAGCCACTGTCAGGCCTTGACATGGCTTCAGGCACCTTTAAAAAAAGCAGCCAAATTAAAGCCACATATAGGAGGGGAGGGCAGCCTTCCTCCCCCGGCAGGGAGATATCTTGATTAAAGCTCAGTCTGACCTTCCAGCTTCATCTGCACCAAAATTGAGACGCATTTCCTAAATGGCAGGACTTTACAGAATCATAATGAGCCAGGACCAGGAGGCTTTGCATCGAATTTCCACCTTCATTCCTGCAGCGGGCAGAGGGGAAGATAAAGGAGGCTCTTTATTACCTGCTACCAAAAGAACAACCTAGCCTTCCTTCCCCTGTTTCTTTTGTGCAGAGACAGAATTATCTGTGGAACAAGTAATTCATTCCCGGGCCCTTTAGATTGCTTTTCTGCACAGCTCAATTCTTAGGTTATTATTGTTTAGTAGATGCCAATAGTTTGATGGGAAATCTTCTATTTCGAGGGTGATGTATATTAGTAAATAATTCACTTGAGGGAAAACCTAAGCATCAGGGAATTTAAAACAAAAACAAAGGCCAACAAAACCAATCTGTTTCACACTTAATGAGAATAAAATAAATCTGAGGATTTTGCTCATAGGTCCTTTAATGTTCCATTAAGTCACAATTACTTAAATTACAAGATGCCCTAGTATTGTATGAAATTCATAAGCATCTCCTTTTGTAAATCATAATTTATGGGATTAAAACAATTTCTACCAATTTGGAAAATATATCTAGTGCCACGCTATATTGTGTTTTGCATATTAAAATTTAAAAATTAATGAAAACAGCTTTTATTAATGCATTGCATTTAACTTAATTTGCTGTATGAACTATAGAACCTAGTATCTTTTGGGTACTTAGTAAAGATCAAAATATTATAATACTTGTTTGGGAAGGAAGGTTCTGAAGTAATTGTATAAATTATGTGTAGGTTTGAAAACAGTATCTTCATCCATTATATTTTATGTAAGTAGTATGTAGCTGTGTGGTTTTGGTGAACAGATACTCACCCCAGATGGAAGCTAAGAAGGTCAGAAATGCTTATTAGAGAGAAAAATGTAGGGGTTTGCGTGCAATGCGATTACATAATCTCAAACAGTCTCTCTACTGTCTTTTATTGTCATCCCTCATGGCCGGGGTGCTGTGTCAGATCTGTGTTCCCGCAAATGGAGAGCATGTGTCCAATAAAATTTCACCTGTGCTTGCATAGGGCAGGAATGAATGTATGATGTTCACATCAGTGTTCACAGACGAAACCGAATGCATTTGTGGTTAGCAGGCTTTGGCGTGGAAAAAAAAATTCTCTGAGAATGGAAACAAACTCAGCTTTGCATTATCAGTTTCAAAACTGGGACCATGCTGCCCTCTTGTGGAAATATGTAGTACTGACACGAGCTACGGGGGTTTAGCTGTTTTTTCTTAGTTTAGACCCTCCTTGTGTGTATTTCATTTTAACTGGTAACAGGCACAACTTACAAACATCAGCACAGTATCAAAACAATCCAGGTTTCTACCGGCGCTCACACACGGCCTGCACCTGTCACCCATCCTTCTCATCCCGCAGCATGTGACCGGCTTTTTGTCTCTGAAAGGCAATGTTTGTTTTGTCTTTTGAGCCATTGCCTCTCTTCCACTTGGCTTCCTTCCTTCCTTCCTTCCTTCCTTCCTTCCTTCCTTCCTTCTTTCTTTCTTTCTTTTTTTCTTTCCCCTCCCTCTGGTACCAGGATTGCTCATGGTAGGGTTGCTCTGAGTTACATTCTCAGCCTTTTATTATAACTTTATTTATTTTATCACAGACAAGTTTTTCCCAAGCTGCCCACACTAACCTCAAACTTGTGATCCTCCTGTCCCAGCCTTCTAGACAGCAGGAATTACAGATGCAGAACTGGCTTCTCTGATTTTATAATCGTAATGTAGATCATAACAAGAAAGCAGTATCACTGAAAATGCACTTATCATATAGAGAGCACAAAATAATCTTTTAAAATCCACATTAGGGATCATAAAATCATGATCGAAATTTACAGCCTTTTTTATTAAAATAAGCTAGAACAGTATGGGCATCTCAGGTTTGTTATTAGAAGAACCGCAGTATTTTATAAGAAGGAAGAGCCAGCACGTGAATGTGATTAGGTGATCTCTCCTGATCCTCTGCACACCTCTAGGAAGGAGACAGTCTTTGGCCTTGGAGGTTTAGCTTCTTTATTTGTAGCTTTTCTGAAATAACTGTAGAGTTAACTCCAAAAACCATCACCAAAGACAGTAAGAGTCCAAAGATGAAAGGCACAGACATTAAGCAGCTCTCTACAACCCCACAGCCCAGGGACAGGTGTGTAGGACAGTTGTGTATCCTCTATCTTCTGGGAAAACAGTATTTTGCATTTAAGGCTCTTTAGAGCTATGCTTCTGTCTGGCTTTCACCGCAGGTGAAAAGAATCAGTGGTATCGTCTTGACTGCTAGTGTTCTGATGTGACTTCGTTTTAATTCAAAATACTTTTCTTTGCTATGAACACATGAACCCTTCAGTACGCGTCACTTACAGCAGCATCTTGGGAGAGACAGAAGAGCTAAATGTACATGGTCAGTCACCTCGTCTGCAATACAGTCTTTGTTCTTCCTTTCTTTTTAATTTCAGGTAGTAAAATAGTCTGACGCATTTCTCCTTCCTTCCTTTTGCATCTGAGCCACTGCCCCGCCTGGATGATTCAGAGGTCAGAAAAAGTGACCCTCGCAATTCAGCACTAATCTGGTTCACTCACTGCTGGTTTGATGAGAGCCCTGATTTAGACAGCAAACCATGAGAAGTAGGAGCAATACATTGAACATGTTCTTTTCATATAGATAGCACAATATAATCTTTAAAACTTTGCCATTGTTAGTCACAGCTGTGATTCCCTAAAATTTCCCTTTTGCTTATTTATGTTGCGTATTTTAACAACTTAACCTCATTTTACCTGCTCATGGCCTTGGTTTCTCCTAGTCTTTTGGTTAATGTTCAGAAATCCTTGTTTCCTTGCATAGCACATCCTAAGTCTGCCATCTAGTGGAATAAATTTGCCAAGACAAGTTTTTACAGAGGGTTTCAAAAGTCCAAGAGAGGCATTGTTCTTGGAATAGAAATTACTCCTTTCATCAGAGTTCAAAGCAATGCTGGTTTCCTGTTCACCAAATTCATGCCGTGAAACTGGAAAATTGCATTTAATTACCTAAAAGGTTTCTAGATATGTTTTGCTGCTTTATTAAATTTTTCACAGCCTTTGAAGAGTAGCACAGTGAAACCGTGCTGTGCTGTGAAAATTGTGATGGTGAAACTAATGGAAGTAATGATTTCTGAAGAAATGCAAAAATTAAGAGCAGGTATATGTTCTGAGGATCATCAAAGACTGCGGAGTTATTTCATCTTAGAAAAATAAAATTATATAAATACGTTATTATCAACTTCCTCATCAACTGTACTTATGTGGAGTTGTTTAATGGTGATGGGTGTTCTTTGAAATACAGAGGGAACTCATAGCTTGTTACACTAGTTTAATGTAGTCTTAGGTGGTTTTAGTAATATATACTCTTGTATTTTTCTGCTAGATATACATTATTACGAAGGGATATGTTATTTGCTTTTATCATAGATCTGTGATTTTTAGAATATATTTTCTGATTATAAAGATAGTATAAACTTGTAGATAACTTGGAAAATATTAAGAAATGCTTAAAGAACAAGATACGTATAGTTTGCCTTCCAAAATAACTTCATTGAATCATTTTATAAAATTTCTCTCATTTAAACTCTATATAGAAGTAATATGTTTCCTTGACAAAATTAGCACTTTTTTTTTCTTTTTATTGGTACCAAGGATCAAACTTACGACCACCTGCTTGCAAGGCAGGTGCTTATGCCGCTGAGCTAAATCCCCAGCCCCTTCCTTGACAAAACTTTTAATCGGTTTGATCCTATTTTTCTTAATCACAAGATAAAAATTCCCTTTATGTGACTCCCAAACATAATTTTTAATGACTAAAATATTTTTCTTAATTATGACTAAGATTTACTTAACCAATGATAATTACTAAGTTTTTAAAAGTGTTTTGATCTTATAAATATTAGCACCTTGAACTCTTTTATGCCAGCACATATTGATGAGAACAATTTGATTATTTCTTGAGAAAAATTTCCTTGAAGATTAAGGGTTCTTGATCAAAACACATTTTAAAGGCTTGTGATTTAAATAACAAAGTTATCTTTTATGAAGTAGCAATAACTTTATTCAGGGGAACACAGAGAGGATCTTTTTTATCTCATGCTTAGCAATGTTGCTATTTTCGCTTGTTAAGTAAAGTTGTAAAGCCCATCTCCTGGAATGATAATTTGCATTTCTTTGATTATTAAAGATACTGAGTTCTTTTATTTTGACCAGAAACTGCATTTCTTATGTAATTATTTGTACATTTCCCACTCTGTGGTCTCTTTTGTGTTGATTTGTTGGATTATTTATAAGGTAGCGACACTAATCATTTCTCATATTCTGCCAATGCTTTTCCTGCTGGTAGTATGTATTTTATTTGCTTTGTGAATTTTTACCTTTTTTTGAATAGAAAAATCTCACCAGTCTTTCCCTTTATGCCCCATTTTCAGCTTTTATGTGCAGCTATGGTCCTTTTATTTTCTATCTTCATCTCTGTCTTTTTAAAATACTTTTCCGTTTCATTTCACAGAGACTGTTCCTTTTTGAAGCTGTCCTTTAGAAATGAAAGTCATTGTCTCTTGGTTCTTTTATTAAACTATTTCCCAATGGAACTTTCCCCTTAGTCTCCAGGAGAAATGAAGCGATGTCTTCTACAGGTCATAATTAGTGAACTTTTCTCTCCAATTATAGAAGAATTCTCACTATTAAAATAAGTGTATTGTGAGGAGGTTTTCTCTCATTGTTTTTTTAGTTTTAGTGGGACATTGGCAGACATGGGTCATGAATTCCTTGCCAGATGTCACCTTACAACATGAATCTATTTTATATCCTTTATTCAGTAACGATCAGGAGAGAGGGCGATAGAGCGAAGTTTGAGAGTTTTGTAAATTAAGATAAACACTTTTCAAATGAAAAAATATGAATGACCAATAAATACATGAAAAAATGTTCAACAGCATTTGTCATGTTAGAAATGCAAATTAAAACAACACTGAGATTCCATTTCACCCCAGAAAGAATGGCTGCCATCAAGAAATCAACCAATAACAAATGCTGGCAGGAATGTGGGGAAAAAGGAACGCGTCTCCACTGTGGGTGGAAGTGTAGACTGGTGCAACCACTATGGAAAAAAAAAAAAAAAAATTGAAAGTAGAAATTTCATTTGACCCAGCTATCCGCCTTCTAGGTATCTTTCCAAAAGAATTAAAGACATCATAGTTTGCTTCTTTCATGAGACTCTAGATGAGTTTAAGTCTTTAGATACTTCAGATGTGGAGTCTCAAAGAAATTTAGCGTCAGACAGGCTGGTGCTGTGATCATTTAAATTTTGTTCCGTTTTGTTTTTACTATCACCCTACTCGGTAGTTACTGAACCACGGCATCTCATTTTTCTTCAATCCTTGTAAAGTGACAGACAAATGAATCTGAGCAATGTGACATTTCAAGAACACACTTGATAGTAAAGCAAAGTAGCGCACTTGTGATTTATGATGAACCATATTCAAATTTTACTGTGCTTAAAACCAGTATCTACTTGAGAAACTATTAATATGGCATTTAGAACAGAATCCTTTTTAAGGCTATACTTCCCCTTGATTGACTGACACCCAACAAACGATCTACCTGCCCACTATTGACTGTAAGATGTAGAAATCTTTAGGATTTGGATTACGTGGTCATAGGTGAACGCTCATTCTCATCACACAGACCCTGAAACTGTGAGTGTGAAGTTCCTGCTCCTGGCTTTGCCCAGGTGCCACCTCTCCTGCTTCACATTCTCCCCTGGGAGACACCCAGTGCATTTCCTGCCTTACTGCATCTGTGCAGCGTCCTACAAAACTAGTTGCCAGAGTTCTTGTTGAAAATGGATTGTTTTCTCTCGTTGAAGTTTTATTTCAAAAATATAGAAAAAAGATTTGTAAGTAGATACTCACGTCTACTTCCATTTAACAGACATTAACATTTCGTTCTTTTTCAAACTGATAGAAATTTTACATACATAATACTGAATAAAGCTGTCTAGTTAAATTAGATTTGGCAAATAAGAATTTCTATGGAACCCACTCTGCTTTTTGGTGCCTTTCCATTATTCTAGAAAATTCCTTTATGCCCTTTACCAGATAATCTTAAAGGGCATTTTGGTTCCTCTCAACATAGATTAGTTTTTTCCTATTCAAAAATTTTATATAAATGGAATCATGTGGTACAAATTCTTTGCTTCTGGACTTTTATGGGGGAGGTTAGAATGTTCATTCAAGTTGATGCATTAGTAATTTTTTCTTTCTTTTCCTTTTAAAAGAATTTGTATAAGTATTGCAGTATTTGTTTATTCATTCCCTTACTATGAACTTTACTATGAACTTTTGGGCTGTTTGAAGTTTTAGCAATTGTAAAATATATCAAACATAAGCATTCTCGTACAATTTATTTTGTGTATATGTATTTTCTTGTGTTTCTTCTATGTATTTTTGTTGTTCATAGAGTAGGTGTGTTTGTAACCTTGTATGTATGTATTTTTCTTTTTCATAGAGTAGGTGTGTTTGTAACATTGTAATAAACTACAAGTTATTTCAAAATTGAAGAACTACTTTAAAATCTTACCAGAATTATATGAAAATTAAGTTGATCTGCACTTTAACCAGTATTTGGGGATATTAAGGCTTTCATGATTTAATTTTTTAGTGGCTATGCAATGGAATCTTATTGTGACATTTACATTTCCCTAATATGTTGTGTTGAATGTGTTTTCTTGTGCTTAGTGGTATTTTTATATCATTCTTTTTACCCATTTACCTTTAATTGTGTTTTGCTCTTTTTCATATTATTATAGGAGTTATTTATATATCCTGAAAATCAGAATTTTGTCACGTAAATATCAGAGAGGAAGTAAAACTATATTTTCAGATGAGATTGTTTGCATAGAAATTCTTATGGTAAATCATGAAATAGTGTAAATCTTTAATATTCATATTTTTTGAGAATTGTTTTGATGAGCATGTTATGGAATGAGGTCCCACTGCCTTATGCACATAGGAGCCAGTGCTGGGTATTTGCAAAAAGCAGAAGCTTCACTGCACAGTCAGCTCTCAAGGAGGCCAGGTAAGGAGAGCTCAGTTCCCCCTGACTCACTGATGTGTTGAAAGAGAATTTAAAGGAAGAGACGGGGAGACGCTACTTACTGAATGGATGGTGAGAGGAGAGCAGGGTTTGGGCTCTTCTGCACGGACAGATGCCCTGCATGTCTCTTCTCCTGTCTCCTCTCCTCTCGTGTTTTATTCTGGGGAGGAACAGTTGTATTCTCCACTGGCGATTCTAAGCTTGTGATGTCAGAAGATCATTAACCTTAGGAGCTGTCTTCTCCTGTGAGTGTCCATTCTTGAAAACCTGGTTCCAAATCACCTAAAGTGGATTCTGGAGATTTTCCTGAAAGAAACGTTGTTCATTATTTAAGGGATTTATGTCCAGCGTGTCCAATGTCAGTTCTAGCTTCTTTCCTTTTACATTTAAATTTTACAATCAGCTTTACAGTGTCATCAGAAAAACCTGCCGAAAATCTTAACTGATACACCATCGAAGGCATAAACCAGTTTAACACAAATGACATCTTAATAGATGATATTGGTTTTCATAGTTCATATATAGTATGTCTTTACTTGTGTTTCAATGTTTTAAAAATTTTCTTAGCAATATTTTACATTTTTCATAATGTGTATCCCCAGGTGCTTTATTTTTTTATGTGATTAACAGATAATATACTTGATTCCTTTCTAATTAACAGATAATATACTTGATTCCTTTCTAATCTAATTCCTTTCTAATTCTAATGTAGGAAATTCCTACAATTCATATAAATTAAAAATAAAAAGCAAAAACAACATACACTGATTTATTTCATGAACTTTTTTCTTATGACTTTATCCTTATTTCAAAATGCTTACTATACAACTGCCTTAGATTCCAGCAACAATATTGGCACCTTACTGAGCACACTTACTTTCACACCACTGGCACTCAACTCACCTCTCTGAAAAAGTGGAGCAGAGAACTGCATTGCTTTGCCTTGAGATTTATGTACACAGATACGATTGGCAGAAAAAGGACTCATGACAAAAATGCATGAATTTTTTTTTACTAAAATTTTATGAAGTTTCCTTGTGGCTTACTTTGAAGTCCATCGTTAGACAGGTTCAGTTCTCTGCTGCTGAATCACGGCTCCCACCGAAACTGTACAACACAGGCTCTGTATTTCCTAGATGTGCTTACATGAGTCTGCAGCTTGTGGAACATCCTGACAGTTTCATTACGAAGGCCTAAAATGGGTCCTCACTGAAGTCAGTGGCACATTTTCCCGTCTGAATTACCAGGCCAAACAGGCTTGTCAAATGTACTTTCAAAATTATTTTGGAGTCATTTGTGATGGATCATGGAAACGTTTGAGCTGCCTGAAAACTACTCTGCAGCCCGTCATGGTGGCAAAAGCTAAATTAATCTCAGGATTTTCTCTAGAGAGCCTCTTATGCAAACAATTTTGCTCAAGAGAGACAGAATCGCTTTCAGTTACATAAAATAGAAGTTGAAACAGGTTTTGTTTAAAGTACACAGAGTTACAGAGTTATGGATAGACTCTTACATGTGACGTTCAGCCTTTTTTTTTTTTTTTCCTTATTTTGAAGGTAGTACAATGCAACAGAACAAGACAAAACAAAGCCAACTGAGACAGTGTAGTGAAATTGGTACAGAACTTCTCATCAGGTTACAGGGATAACATTAATAGGTACCACAGTATATCTCATTATCCTCACAATAGGAAAATAAAATGAAAAAGAGAACATTATACAACTTATCAAAACAATATTGAATAGAGCAATATCATTAATCAGAATAAAGCAAAACAATATAAAAACATTTGCCTTCAAAAAGATGGTAGAAGGAAATCCCCCTTATTTGCTATATTGCTTATGGTCAATCTCCCAAGACATGCTCAGATCTCTGGTTCGCATTTGCTAACGGGGGGCAGGGGAAGTGGGATGTTTGACTCTGTCTATGCACCAGAAGGCTCCCTATTGCTTAGCAGGGAGGCAGGCTGGTTGATTGGTTTCCCAGCACCGTAAGTTCCAACATGGCGTGGATCTTAGGAGACACTGGTGGTTCTCTCCATGGAGGGGCTGCAGCCTGCCACACCACAGCTGCTTACCAGGGAGGCAGACTGGTTGCTTGGTTTCCCAGCGTCCTCTGACTGCCAGCCTTTTTGAGACGCTAAGTCATCTCACTGTGAGGGAATTTGGAGCACATTCGCACATAGTATTTGAGGGAAGGTAATGCCAATTATTATGCTTTGATTAAAGAACTGCTTGCCTGCAAGAACATTAATTTGTGGAAAGCCAGGCAATTAAGAGAGGTTTGAGATTTTTTTTAGCCAATTGATTCTATTACAAGAATGAATGTGTTTTATAATGTGTCATGTTTATCCCAGAGGTGAAACCCACTTAAAGCAATTTTTGGCAGGGGCGGGGGTAGGTAACTTTCCACAGTACTGTGAAAACTTGACAAAAACTTTTGGAGTCAGAGGAAATAAAGCTAAAAGTAGGCCAGCTTTGCTGACAAATTCACTGAGTTATACTCATTACATAGAAGTCATCTTGAGGCCCTTACTTAGCTCAGACATCCTTGGCTCTCAAATAATATATTTGACTTTAACAATGACCTCCTCTCTCTGGAATCTTTATGTAAAGACAAATGAGTTCCAGGGAATTATCTCAGGACACCAAACAAAGCATGTTTTTCTTTGTAATACTAATTACAAGCAGAGGCAGAAGAGTTTCACTGTCTCAAGCTGCAGAAAGATCAGAATCTGTGTTTGCAATCTTCTCATTTGATTGTCATCTCTTGTCTGTGCAGGAAATAATATTCCTAGTTTGATACAAGAGGAAATGGTGAGGTGACTTGTTTAAAATAGTAAGAGCTAAAAGTGCCAAAGTCGGCACTTTCACTTAGACTTCGGTGTTTTTAACTCTTCCTTATTGTGTTTTCCTTTCCTTTTTGTCTCTGCTTTATCTTCTTTTCCCTCTTCTCTTTCCTTGCCCTCACTTCCTTTCCCTTCTCCTCTTGTTTTTGTCTTTTTCTTCTAGGAAAATAACAGGTCCAAAAGATTTACTCAGAATCTTTGACTAAATATTCCTTTAGGTCATAATTTTAAGTTGTTACAGTTCCAAAAAAATGATCACAGTATATATTTATGATTATCTTATTCCTATATATTATATTCCTTTGTGTACACATAACAACATGTAACAGTTTAATGGGTATAGTGGTTGACACATGGTGTCAATTTGAGAAGTTTAGAAATTTAAGTAACTCAGCAGTTGTATATCCTAGGTTGTAGAGGACATGCGCTAGGGATACTGCCTAAACCCTCAAAATGTTTTAATAATTCTTTAAAATATGATTACTGTATAACTTTTATTTTGGAAATTTCAGGCATGTTGGTCATATCGGGTCTACTTAGTAAGAAAACATTTAAATACAGATATAGCAGGCTGCAAATGCCTGTCCTCCAAAGATCTCCATGTCCTAATCCCTGAGAGGTTGGGAACATATTATTCTTACACGAGAGAAGGAATTTTGAAGATTTGATTAAATTAGGGAATTTGAAATGGAAGTTTTTCTTGGATTTGTTGAGTTGACCCAAAATAACAATCACAAGGGTTGGGGAGGATCAGTTACTAGTAGGAGTGGTGATAAAAGTAGCAAAAAGTTGGAGTGATTGAAATTGGGGTTAGGAATAAATCAAAGAAGGTGTATTTTTCAGTGTCCTTGTTGTTGGCACAAAATGCCTGACAGCTGGACCCTAAAGAAAGAGTTTTGTTTTCAGCTGTAGTTCAGAGGTTTCAGGTTATGGCTGGCTGGCTCCAAGGCAGAGATACCATGACAGAAAGGTGAGGTAGAACAAAACTGCTGTGTCACGATAGTGTGGAAGCAGCGTACAGGGAAGAGAACCTGAGAGAAATGGGTCTGAGATAGGCTCCAGGGTCATGCCCAGCCTCCGCCCAGACACACCCAGATGTGTGCTCAGCTGATCTCTCTGGCCAGTCAAGCTGACAATCAAGGGTAACAGAAGGAGCACAGGTCTCCAGTAGGAACTGAAAGAGGCAAAAACACATATTCTCCTCTGAAACTTGGAGCTGGAAGAAGCCTGTCAGATACCTTGATTTCAGAATTCCCATCACAGGTACTGTGACAGAAAAGTTCTTGTTTTAAGACATTATGTTTGCAATAATTTGTTATAGCGTCTTTAGCAAACTAGAGACGCTATAGTGGAAATTTATCTGTTTTCTCTATTCTGATCATCTTAGTCAAACAAATTAATACAAAGGCTTCTCAATTTATAATAAGGTCTTGTTATAATAAATCAATCATGAACTGAAAATTCCATAGGTCAAAAAATGCATTTCACAATCCTAATGCCCTGGACACCATAGCCTAGCCAAAGTGCTTAGAATATTCATATTAACCTGTGGATGGGCAAAATTACCAACATGAGGTCTATTGCATAATTAAGTATTGAACATGTCACATAATTTATTGGCTACTTTTCTGAAAGGAAAAACAATGATTGTAAGGATTTTTCTTTGCAACCTTGTACACAAAGTCAAAAAATCATAAGGTTAGTCACTGAGAGTCCATTTTATTAATGACAACATTTTCTTCTGTTATATAGTTTTTTATAGACTGCTACATCTTTTTTATTTTATGAAAAAAGGTAAAACAAAATTTCATGACAAAATAACAATAGTTAATACATCACATATTGTCATCATTAAAGTAGTTGCTCATAGGACAAGTTATGGGCATAAACGTTTCTCCAATTAATATGAGCACAAACCTTCCTTTTCATGAGCTAAGAGACACCAGTATTATAACTGACTGAATTTTTTCCCTTTTCCCTTCTTTCCTTTCCTTTTTTAACATCCTAGCTCCTTTTTCATTTTTAACAACTTATTCCCATTTCATAATATGTATTAAATATTTTAGACCCTGTTTACTCTTTCAATTTCCTACACCAGGGAGACATTTGATGTTTATACATGTAACACTGATAGATTTTACTATGAGTGTGGTCTCAATTTGCATCCATTTACCTATAAAAGTTTCAAGTTTATCCTTTTTTATGGTAGACTAGCACTCCAATGTGTAAAAATACCACATCTTTTTTTTTAAAATCTATTTCTTGGTTGATGGGCATATTATAAATTGTGTTGCTATAAAACATGGGTGCACATATATTGCTGTAGTATTATGTTTTTAATTATTCTTGGAAGATACCCTGAAGACTAGCTGGATCAAATGAGACCTGTAATCCTAGTTTTCTGAGGAATCTCCACACTGATTTCCACAGTGGTTGCACCAGTTTGCATTT